AATGACCTTGTTCATCATTGAAAATGGAGTGCTGGTTTCAGTGATGGGTGATAAAGAAGAAGTTAGGTCTTTGAGTTTAGGATGAGAGGTTTGAAGTATTGGCAATGCATGGGTATTGGGTGTCCTTTTTCTTCACTTCTTCCTTTTCAAAGTTGATTCTGGTTTCCTTTACTATAATAAACATAGGAGATAGTAGATACAATCTCTAGATTGGAGCTAAGATTACATCAAAGTAGGTGATCTTACGGGTTGGATTGCATGAAATCTGTGTGATTTCAAATTGCACAAGCTGTTCATTGCCTGGTACATATGTGATATTACATCACATCTCATTCTCGCCATGAAACGTGAGCACACATGCCACAATGTGACACAATCTTGTTGGAAGTGAACACAAACACTTTACCAACCCTCAACTCACTTATAATGAACCCAGCCTCAAATTGGCTGGAAGATTTGATGATTTGATCAATTGAATTCCTGAGCCTGATGATTGTTCCTCACTCTGGATTTTTTTGCTTTTGAAGATTTGTGTTTGAAATCCCAAATTTAGTGACAGAGTCTTGCATGTGATCTTCAAAGTAGATGTGTATCTGGAAATGTAAAATGAAATGTGACAAGTAGGAGAAGAGATGGGTTTGTGAACACTAACTGCTACCACATTGAATCTGAGGTATTCACTTGAGTTTCTTTGGTGTCAGTACCCATCTCAGCAGTAAAGCAGACAAGGGGTCTGCACCCGGTTTTACGTTGTCATCAAGGTCAATTATCATTACCTCAGCCAAATTATCTTGAGGGATTCTTGTTTTATTATCATGAAATCTTGTTGATCAATTCCTCAAATGATTGACAATCCCATAGGAAGATGAGAAACATGATTGTTATGGTGCTGAGATTCATGACAAACTGCATATCTGTGTGTTTGACCAAGGTTTGGTTTACAGCAGATTGTGATGGGAATCAACTGACTGTATTCCTTCAGTCTCACTAGAAAGCAAAAAAGATGGCATTTAGAGACCTGAGTGTGGGTTGTGGTTTGATAAACCTTACATATGTGTTGGTGTTACAACTCAGGCCATATTTCCTCAACAGTTTGAGGATTGGAACATGGTGTCACCTCTTGGGCTCTTGGCCGGTGATGAAAATCATTGTGTGCAATTGAACACAATGGTTATAGTGTGGCTGATAATATGTTTCAAGTGGTAATGTAGTAAATTGACCCTTGACAACACAAAGCAAAAGGTAATTTATCTCCCCCCCCCAATAAACAGACAGTCAAATGATTGCTTTCAACAGAAATTTGATCACTGATGGCACAAAAAACATGCGGTTGTTTTACATGCCCAGATTCATACCACACATGTGGTGGTAGAAGACTCGACTACTTTTTTGAGTCCGTACAGGTGCAGGCCTTTCCGCTGTAAACACCACACCCCGTTTCATGAGGTTTCTCAAGATGAGTCGTACCGTCGGCGACATCGAACGTCTCGGCCATATTCCTATCAGCCGCCATAATCGCTTTTTCGCTCTTGATCATCGCACCAGAAGCTTGATTGAATGAGACCAAAATTATGAGCATCGCTGCGAGGATGCTGAAATTCATGTTCATGATGAAATATCTAATTCGTTGACCAAGTTTTAGTTCTAGCAGATTGTGATGAAGATTAGGTTGAACAAATCAAAACTTGCCAGGATGGTAAAGCAACGGAATTTGAAAAATCCTTTTTGGGTCGGAAAACCGATAGTAATCGTATCTCAACCGGTCAAAAGGGTAAAGAAAGGTACCATAAAACGTGAGCTCAGTCTGTTTAGAAACAATATCTCTACAATTGACTGATGAAGATTGGCGGGAAACATACCAAGACAAGTGTGCAGGTTAGGCGAACAACTCGGTAAGATGATTGGATGGTGAACAAATCATCAGCAAAGTAGGCCACTTTTTATATCCGTTGATGACCGCCTGAGTCGATGTCTGTCCGACTCCTTCCGGTCATCAGGTCCTGGAACTTGATGCTGCGTTGGCTCCTTATGCAGATTCAAATTGTGATTGCTTTTAAATGTCACATCGTCATGTTTCGGACGGTGGAGAAGCTAGTCGTGGCCATGTATGTCGATTTCCCTTTGAATTTTCGGTCTGCGCTTTCATCACGTAAACCGGTCATCGTTGACTAGGTTTTGCATTGCGGAGAAGCTGAGTGTGGAAAACCGAGCATGATGATGACTCAAAGAAAGACAGTCGAGTGAGGCAGTTTAATTTTTGTTGTAACAAGCATCAACATGTAATACAACATCAGGCTGGATAACACGATTGGCTGAGATGTGAGAGAAATGAGGTGGAGACAACGGGCGGACCCGAATCATACATAAGAGACACTGCGGGAATCGACTTGTTTGAAACCCGATTGAGAGGAATTTCGGTGTCCGGGTTTGAAATTTCCTTGAATTGTGAATCTTGTTCACAACTCGTTTGCATTATGTTTGCCGATTTCCCTCGAGTACCCTAACATACAGGGCACTTGCAAAACCTGTGATTCCAACCGTTGGACTACATATCTCACCGCTCTTGATGTTCCCGCTGAACTGCTTTTTTTCGGTTGATTGAGGCCTGAAGAATGAGGATGAAGGTGAGGAATGGTGAAAGGGGATGTTGCTGTATGATGTGACTGTACATCCACGGGGCCAGCCGAGTACAGAGTACAGCCCGAGGGGAATTGGCAAACATAATGCAAACAAGTTGTGAACACAATTCACGATTTGAGGGAATTTCAAACCCGGACACCAAAATTAAGCTCAATCTGGTTTCAAACAAGTTGATTCCCGCGGTGAGATTGATCGATATACAGTGGTTTTCAAAAAGCTTGCCAGAATTTGCCCGCACAACTCCAAACTTAACAAAGTCCCCACCTGGACCTAACCACCAACTCCACGGAGGGACTTACACCCAATGTCGGAATTTTGGCGTGAGTTCCGTCGGGGATTTTTCACAAAATCTCTCATCACCTCTGCACGCTACATTCACAAACAAAGCTCCTGTGAGAGTCCAATGAACATTTACGGTACTCAAACTTGTGTATAGTTTTTTGTGTATAGTCGTGTATAGTTTTTTTTTGGCGGGGGATTTGAGTCCAAAAGTATAATTTGTCTTTTTTCCCCGCCAAAAAAAAACTATACACAAACTATACACGACAAACTATACACAACTATACACAAGTTTGAGTATCGTAATTGGGCGCAGGAACTGCCACTGTCATTTGCCGTCCTTGGCCTCTCACAATCTCAAAAACTCAGGAAATTGTCGAAACAATTAGGACCCTGGAAAGCTCCTACTAAGGTCCCTGATGAAAAACCTGACCATTTTTTGGACCAAACTGGGAAAATGATTTTTTTTTGGTCAAAACCTGACCATTTTCATTAGGTACCTCAAAAAAAAAATGGGCACTGGCTTTCAATTGCATAGTAGTTTGGTTTTAATTGCATAGTAGTTTGGAGAAAGAACCGGAAAGCATAGTTTGGATAAAGCATAGTAGAAAGAGAATAGTGATCATAGATAAGATGTGTAAATATATGTATTACTTGTTTTCAATCGGATTCAATATGATTGGTTCTTTTATTCAATTTTAATTTGGAGACTTCACCCTCATACCAACTGATCAAGCGTTCAATATCAGAGCCTCCCAACATCTCTCTGATGGGGGTTGGGATTGAGTAGCAACCACCATCCAGAGACATAAAATTGGAGCCAGTTGAAGGTGGAAAAACATAGGCCACATCGGTTGCATCCACAAGGGCAAAAGTCCAAGCATCTCCGCTGCGTGGACAAGTGGAGAGGGCGACTGGCAAACCTGGATCATAGAATAAGATGTGGACAGATATGTGCGACAACTCCTTTCGAGAGGTTGAAGTGTTCACAAAGCAGTGTTTCCCACTTCGGTGCTGGTAAACAACCAGGGTGCGGCCTAAATAAAGAACCTACAGATTGATGAAAGCTTCAGCATTTGTTCGGATTGATGTATTGTGATTTATACAGATTAGACTGACATGATTTTTGATGATAATCACGAATTTACCGGGCTCAATTGGGTTCTGATTGCTGATTATGCCACCATCGAACAGACCTTGTAAGGCTTTGTATCCAAGGAGTGATGTCCTGTTCAGTAATCCAGCCATGTTTAGCTTCACATGGATGTTCCAACGATGTCTACGTTCGGCGCCAGAAGAAAGGTTTTTTTGATTTTTCATGTGGACAGCAATGATCTTAGAGCATGCACTAGGATCAAGCCGACCGTCTTTGTTGGTAGAAGCTACAGCCACTCGTAACTCATCAGCATTAACCCTGTCTCTCTCGTTACCCTTATGTCTTTGAGATTGACTGTGGTGTTTTTTTCGAAGATAGAACAAAGCCTTATTGTTGAGTTTTCGGGATTCAATCAAGCTCACAGAAGTTCTTTTGGGTACATTAGTTTGTAAAGATGATGAAGATTGATCGTGTTCAACATCTGTAAACGAACCCAAATTTAGTCACAGGTACAATATAAGCATAGACAAGAAATTACCTGGGTTGAGGAGTCTAGATATAGACATGGCCGCATTCTGGAATGCTTCAGACTCAACGTTCTCATCAAGCTGATCCAGTAACAGCGAGGTTGAATTTTGTTCTTTGCCTAACATCGCAGCTGCCTCCAATGCCTGGTCTTCTGGACAGTTACCAGGTGTGTAAGCGTAGGTGACTTCATAATCTTTGGCAAGACTTTGAGACACATCTGGGTTTACCAAAACAAAATTAGGACAACTTAGCATTAGCGTAGAAGAAGTTACAAAGTATTATAAGATACATACCATCACTTGGTTTGGACTCAGGAGATAATGAAGACTCGGGGAAATCGGCATCGATAACCTCATCTTCAGATAGATCATCTTCAGATGGCGGAAAAGTGAATAAGACTGTTGGCTTGTTTGCTGGCAATTGCTAGATCTTCGGAGATCTCAGCATTTGTAGGGAATTAGCTGAGTGATTTTGTGTTAAGTCCTTCGTGCTCCTGTGAAAAGCTGATTTGATAACCCGCGTGCATATGTTCTGAAGGTGCCATCTTCATTTTACCCATGACAATACTTTTTATAACTGCAAAGATCTTGGGAATCATGAGTCGAGCGTCGAGAACACTGAAGTTTTCCGAGATGACTCGCATCCATCCAAAGATATGTTCACAAGCCTCACTGCCATGCTTCCAAGGTAAGAAAGGGAAGTCTGGATAGTGTTCGCGATGTGATATTATCAAGCTGAGCAAGATTTGTGCAAGAGTTTCGAATATATTGAAGCTTTGAGGAGAAATTCCGTTGTTCTTCATGCTCATGATACTATTAGGCTCGTCTTGACGTCTCTTCAAGTAATTTTTCCAGCGTCGCATGAAAAATTCGGCGGTCCATGCAGAGGCGGATCCTTTCTCAATGACTAATTTCTTGGTTTAACCACGCATCTGTCATCTCTCCAAAAACAAACAATAACAAAGAGAGACCGGTCGATTCTGGATTGAAAAGTGAGGCCTCAAGAGTCTGCCAACTGAATATTCGAAAAGCTCGTCCATCGTCTTGCTTGTCACTATCAAAGACATCTTTGGTAACTAGAGGACTATTTGGCATCTGAAGAACATTTACCAACTGTTGAACGCATGCGTAGTATTTTACTGAAGCCAGGAGTCGGGCACCGGAAAGAAATTGATTTGTGGCTGTCTTTTTTGCATGCTTTGGATCTTGTACACCTACAATAGGCCGAAGTGGATTACCAATGAATGGAACTTTGATATGTACTTTGAGACTGGATTCGTCAAACGTTAAGAATTCAGTTGTCAATGTTTCAAGACCTGCTTGTGCCGCAAGCTCTACAGGAGCACCGTCTCCTCCAATTGAAAGTAGATTAATGCCTGAAGCTTGGCATAAGTTCATAAATTCCTTGTGCTGAGATAGAATATCGCCAGCGTTTTCTTTAGCGGGACTTGCAATTAGAGCTACAACAAAAGTAGGTACATTCGGAAGTGGAACCTGTAACGTGTACGCTCGGATCTTAAGACAACAAAAATTGTCAACAGACTATTGACTAACAATCATATTCAGATTGATTCATGAGCTCACCTTTCCACACAGTTTGTCTTCTTCAGTTATATTTTTCACTATATTAGCCAGTTCCTCAGCGTGTTCAAATGGGATATCACCTCCTTCGGCTCCAACAAGGCATCCGTTGTGATGACGCAGAGTTTTTACGCATACTGTCTGATTGGAAGCACCGGCCACTGGTCCTGAATAACCAAGATTAGAAAGGAACTGAGCAACTTTCTCGAAGTTGGCGAGTTTGAGTCCATCTTCAAGTTGCATTCCAGTCTTTGCACGAATCATACGTTGGCTTCGGGCGGTTCTTCCGGCAAAGTTGTGATTGAAAAGACCTAGAGCACTTGTGCTCATTGCACCAAGAGTAGTGAGGCAATCGTCTAGGCAGGAGTCGATTCGCATCCCTCGAGTAGATTTTCCTTGAGATTCTCGCTCGGCTTTGATGGCTACAGATTGAATTAAACCTTTGACAGCTCCTTGATTTTGAAGAAGTCCTCGGCGGGCTGAGATTGAAAGACGGTGCATGAAATCACCCCAATCGCCTTTTGAAGAAGCTTCGATGGACTTGTTTCGAATTTCAAGCTCCTTGTACTTTATCAATTTAGCATGGAAGGGATCAGCACTCATTATGACTTTTGGAGTGAACTTGATCTTGTCATCTATCGCATATGGTGTATTAAGAGCTTGTGTCACACTTCCCAACCCTTTAAGTTTCTGACATTCGTCACAGACAACCAGCTCGTCTTTCTTCTTGATCTTTACTGGTATAGTAACTAGACAAGATGGTGAGTAGAGTGCATTCCGATCAGGGTGTCGCTTTACTATCCAGGTTGAGCAAGAATCGAGAGCAGTAATCAAGCGAGCTCTTTGATCTGATGTCAGGTCAACTTCGTTTGCATTCGCACCAAACAGGTCTTTGCATACCATATGTCGCTGGTTTCCACGATATATAGAGCAACTCTTCTCCATGAATTGTGCTATTGACTGCTTTGCACGTTTTCGCTTCCAGGTAGCGTCACAAAGTCCTGCACAGGCCACTTCGATAATTCGAGATTTGTCACTGGATGCTGATGGGTCGGCCGCTTTACGCTTGATGAAGCTGTTCAGGGTTTTATTAGTCGAAATCCTTTCAGTGGCTTGGATGCAAGATGCTGATACAGATGATGATCAGAGATGAATCAGTTAAGTCCAGTTCTTGAACTTTATTGAGGAAAGATGCATTGTAATAAAAAACTAACCTGTTTTCCAATGCTCAACAGCCTTGAGTGTTCGACCTTGTTTCAAAGTCTTAGACTTCGCCCCGCAATGACAATGGAAAATTTTATCACCTCCAATCTTCTCCACCTTGCAGCGATCACAGGGCGAATCTGGTGTTGATAAAGGACACAAAGCAAGCAGATCCATTTGTTTTTGAGCTTTGGATTTGATGACTTTTGGATTCTGTTCGGTTTTAGACAAAGGAACAGGGTTCTCGTCCTCTTTGCTACTTTCAATGACAATGGACTTGTTTTTTTGGTCTTTTGATTTTGCTTGATTTAATACTACATCTCCTTCATCACTGTCAATGATAATCGCCTCAGTGGTGAGATTGTTTTCGGATGGCATTCTTTGCATAAAAACAATCAAGGAGGAAACACGATAATAACTATGATAAGACTTTTTTGAAAGCACAGGAGGGAGAGCGTCCAGAATAATTTTTCATTTACTGTATAAGTATCTTATGACCTCGTATGCACCTTGTGTACACTAAAACTTCGGCCCCGACCCAAAGATAGAGAAGGCTGTATCATCCGAGTCTCTCTGTTATCACTGCCAGATGTAACTCAGATGCATTCCATGCATCTGGGGTCACCCAACTACTACAAGTTTCCCCACAACTTCACGCTCACAAACCGCTCACAATCAACTCACAAGCTCACAATGGCCTGGACTTGGTATCCAAATTCAGATTGATATACTCAGGCTCACAACTTCACACATCCATCCACACAACCTCACAACAAATACACATACACACAACTTCACAAAATCTCTACCTGTATAATCGCAAGCATAGAGCTACATAATCATCCCTACCCAACAATCCTCAATCTTATGAAGTCGACTCACAACTTCACACTCACACACTGTGAGGGTAGAGGACTTAATTGAGGACTCTATGCTCACTAAATGGGTCAAGTAGGGTAGTATTATTTTTATGTATAATGTTTATATTTCAATTATAATGTAATTACAATAAAAATAAGACTAAGAAGAGAAGAGGAAAGGGGAAAGGCTGGTCTGTTTGGATAAATCCAGACAGACTACAGTTAAGAGACTCCTGAAGAGGAGGTTTGTAATTATAATATATAAAGGTTATAATTAATGAAGGATGGATCCCACAGTCCTTCCTTTAATCTTTTAAGTAACAGATTAAAGAGTGAAATAAGGTCACTACACTGGTTGTTCTTAAAGTCACCAACTTATGGTTGTTCTTAAGGTCACCAGCCTGAAAGTACTTGTATGTAGGTCACTAGCCTTGGGTTGTTGGAAGGTCACCAACCTAAAATAGTTCCTACTTGGGGGAAGTAGAGGATCCAGAAGGAGTGAAGATATTACTTACTTTTAATCAAGGAACAGATTAAAGTAATGAAGATATCACTAGTCTTATATTTATAAGACTCTTGATGTTACTTCAGTAGAACTTTAATGGTTCTTAAAAGTGGTGTGTAATAATTGCTTGGGGGAAATCTCTGAAGGCTGAGAGAGAGGAGGTTTATATACTCTTCTCTCCAAACCTAACTGTGGTGATATTTGCTTATATCACTACTGTGGTTTTAGGGTTTAATTATTACTATTAGTTATGGTTATCATTAATGCTACATAATTACATATACATGTTATGTATATTATGTAGTATAAGCATTTTAACTCTTGACACTGAGTTATGAGATGTAAATAATGTTTTATTACATATTACATATGATTTTACATGTACTTGTATATGTAATTAATGTTTATATGTATTTTATTCCATGTTACATGTGTTTTATAAGCTATGTGTACATGTAATTAGTTGTTTAAAAGGTGGTTATCTATGTTACAAGTTAGTCTTTGGGTACATATATATGTACCCAGGGCTGACATTCCCCACCCTCAAAGGAGGTCATTACTTCTTTTCAGAAGGTTTATGAGCTCTTTTTTGGGCTCTGAATTCTCGCAAGGTAGTTTTGTTATTGGGTACTTTATCTGCTGGTAGCCATTCATCTTCGTCTGCACTCCTATTCTTATATCTCACAAGGTAGAGTGTAGTAGATTTACCGTTTACTTGCGTATCTCTTTGTTTTATTATATGTGAAAAAATCTTTTCTCCTTCAGTATCAAACCTGATAGGAGTTTTCTTGGGTATTTCTCTGTCTGGGAATTTGCTCTTGTCAGAAGCGTGAAACTTCTTTATTAAGGATATTGGAAATACCGGATGTTTTCTCCCAAATTCCTCTGTCAATGCTACTTCTACAGCATTGCTTCCGTGGAATTTTAATATTACAAATGGTCCAACAAATTGGTCTTGAAGTTTCTTAGGTCCCTGCAGATTATTAAAGTTTGTGGTGGAGAGTAGAACTTGTTCTCCTACTACAAATTTAGGTTCTTTATGAGTTTTATTCCATCTCTCTTGATTATACGTCACAGAATCTTCAATACACTGAGCTGCTCGAGCTCTTGCTTTACCCAGCATATCAAAGAAACTCAGAGAAGTTGGATGAAATTCAACATTCTTATTCTTAATTTGGTCTTTTGGTAATCTAGGACAATAGCCTCTTTCCACTTCGAAAGGTTTCTTTCCTGTTGTGCTATGTATGCTGCTATTATATGCTAATTCCAAAGCTGGCAGTAATGTATGCCAGTCATGTGTATGTCCATCTTTATCTGTGTAACAGAGTCCCTCAGTACAATACCTTCTGATGATTTCAGTTAAGGTACTAATATTCCTTTCACTGAGACCATCAGTCTGTGGATGGTATGCAGTGGAAAGAGCTAAAGTTGTACCAATAAGTGTGTGTAGACTTTTCCAAAATTCAGAAGTAAATTTGGGGTCTCTGTCACTGATAATAATTCTTGGCAATCCTACATCACTTATTATTCTTTCCCAGAAAAGTAGTGCAATGTCCATTGCTGTTGCCTCTTTGTAGCATGGCAAGAACCTTGTTCTTTTTGAAAATCTGTCCACAATAACCAGTACACAGTTGTAATTATTGATTAATGATGGCGGAAGACCAGTAACAAAATCCATGTTAATGACTTCCCACGCGTAAGTTGGTTCTTCTATTCTTTGAAGTAACCCAAATCTTTTCCCTGTGGCTTTATTTGCTTTCTGACATCTTTCACAAGTCTTTACATATTCCTCAACATCTTGTCTCCAGTTTGGCCACCAAGCTGTGTTTTTGATTCTGTCTACTGTCCTGTCTTCTGATAGGTGTCCTGACATAAATTCATCATGGCATACGTGCAATGTTTGTTGAATGTGTTCAGTAGCTATTATTACTAAAACCGCTGTATGCTTTTCTCTAAAGTATATCAGGTCAGATTCAAGTGAAATTTTTCCTTGAGCTAATCCATCTTTCCAAGGTTGCTCAAGTGTGCTTGACAGCTTCAAATCAGTATTACGTGCAGACAATATCCTGGTAAGTTTAGCTGTGTTACTATTCTTTTCATAACTGGCTTTTACTTCATCAAAAAATTCTTCAGATAATTCACATAAACTAATTCCCATCACTGGAATGTCTCTTTCCATTTCTTCCGGTTCCCATGCTGGATTACTGGAATCATTTGGCAATGCCATTCTACTCAGTCCATCAGCATTGTTATGGAATTTTCCTGGTCTATGTGTAATTGTCATAAATGGTTTATATTCTTGTATTGCCATCATCCATCTCAACATGTGTCTACTTGGAGATTTGAGATTTGTCAGAGATCTCACTCCGGTACAATCTGTAATTACTTCAAAGTAGCTACCATCAAGGTAGTAGTGTAATTTTTCTAATGCCCAAACTAGTGCTAAAGCTTCTAGTTGGGGTGAAGAGTATCTACTTTCAGTGTCTGTCAATTTTCTAGATATAAAGACAATTGGTCCTTCTTTTGGTTTTCCGTCAATTATTTGTGTTTGGTGGAGTGCTGCTCCTAATCCTTCAATTGATGCGTCAACATAAAGTTTAAAAGGTTTCTCAAAATCAGGGTGAAACAGGATTGGTGCTGTTGTAAGTATTTGTTTTATCTTATTCACTGCGTCAATTCTTTCCTTTGTCATTTCAAAGACTACGCCTTTAGCATAAAGTTTGTAGAGGCTACGAGTAATGATTCCAAAGTTTGGAATGTGAGCTCTGTAGTAGCTTGTAAATCCTAAAAATGAACTCAACTCTTGTTTATCTTTTGGGCAAGGTTTTTGTAGTATTGCTGCTACAGAGTTTTGGTCTACTGCCACCCAGAGTCCAGATACACAATGGCCTAAGGCTTTACATTCTTCAAAACCAAAATGGCATTTCTTCAAAGATATGGTCATACCCATGGCTTTGGCTCGTAGCAATACTTTTTCCATTGCTTCTAGATGTTCTTTCCACATAGTGTGAAAGACTATGATATCATCAATATATACTTTGAGCCATCCTTCCCTCAATTCTTTTGAAAATTCTGTATCCATCATTCTTTGGAAAAAGGCTGGCGCATTTTGATTCCCAAAAGGCATCCTTATATATTCAAAAATTCCCAAATGACAAATGATTCTGAGGAGTTTTCTGCTACATATTTCCACGATGTTCTGGTGGATCCCGTGT